GCAAGCAACTTCGAAGACACTCTTGATATCTTTATGATTTAGAAGAAGTCAATCGTTATGTTAAAGCGAAATTAAGTTTTTTGGTAAAGAAGAATCAGTATTGGACTGATGTGATAAATAATCATTAAACTATTCACAATTTAGTGTATTAGAAAAAGACTATTAGAAATTCAGTCATAAATGAATATATTTTTAATCCAAGCGGGAGAGGTTTCGAAGAGAAAAGACAGAATGTAGCGATGACATTGTTAGTGACATTCTTTTTCGTACGGAACTTTTGACATATAGGATAATTTTGCATTTGATTATTGTTGGAAATTAATAAAATATGCTGAAACATAAGGAAGAAAACTTCATATTGACATATACCAAAATCTGAAAATGTTAAAATAGGGTATAGGGTACGAAAAATACCAGCGGTGTACCGCTGATGTTTTTTTGAAGGTGTTGTATTATGATGTACTACATCAAAGTGAGTGAATACTTTTGAAGTCTGTTAAACTGACTGAGTTGAGTGGCTTTCAATATACTCTAATAACGTTGATGAGTCTGAGCTCCCTACACTCGCCACGGAACCCAAATCAACCTCAGTTATGAGATAAATTTTTTTATTATGGATGGTACTGCAAAATATTTAATTAGTAATAAAATATATTGTGAAACTGCTTTCTTCTCGATTAATTCGAATTTGAGTAGAAACCACTTTGCATTCGTTTATAGCTGGAACCGAAAGTTTTAAGTAGCAGCGCCAGTTCTTATGAGTACTGCGGTTTACCAGCGGAAGTGCGACATGAGCGGAAGCGGTAGTTTTCAATTCTCAGAAGACTATTCTTTAATAATGCCATTTTAAAGAGAACAACATAAAAGGTCACCATGTTTTCTATGACCTTCATGCTGTTGTCTTTAAAATAACATTCTTAAAAATTAGTCTTTTGAGACCTGAAAACAACTGTATCCGGCTTTTTTCGAAACCTTGTCATCATAGTTCATCTAGGAAACCTTACTATAGAATGTATTAGATAGAAATCTCTATTGGCTATTAATATCACTATCTGCGTTTATGCTAATTGCGTAACAGTATAGAAAAAAAATACATTGTTGTTACACTTCTTTCCATCAGCTTGTATAGATGAATTCTTTTTTGTCTGAGAACTTATGCATAGAAATGTGTATCGGAACTTTAAAAATTGACTCTTCAGATATCCTACGGGTTGTATCCATTAACATCTGCTAACAATAATCACATATTTCCTAAGAACATTAAAGGAAAGAAAAAAACCGTCTCTTTATAGAAATCTGTCATATTTTCAAAATAATAATCAATTACAAGATTGAAAAAAGATAAATTCATACATTCAAAATTATCTTGTTAAAGAAAACAAAGTAATCTATGACCGTAATTTAGTAATCTTATATAAGAATTCATTCTTTAGTAGAACTCTAAAAGTAGAAAGAATGATGATAATGTATTCCTAGAAAAGGTCTTATTCCAGTACAGTGATGTAAATAAGTTTATATTTTAGAAATATTTTTAGTTTAGTTTGTGTTTTTACAATGATAATATTATTGGTTTTTTTGAAAATCTTATTCTTATAAAGGCTTATCATCAAAATGATACAGAAATACGCTTATTGGTATCATTTCAGCTAATTAAAACACAGATTTTTATAGTTTTGGCAATACCAGAAGGTCATCCACTGATGTCATATTGTAGATTAACCTTTAATGATACTATTACTATTTCTATGATTAAAATATAATAGAAGATAATAAGAAGTTTTTTAGATTATTAATTCAAAACAATAAAAAAACATATCTATTTATTCACTGTGTGTTCGAGAAATTCTCTCTTTAGATTTAATCATACATGCATAGATTTATAAATCGATAGATTGAGCTGCCACTATCGAAACAAAAGAATATATAACAAAGTTAATAAAAGAAGATGTTGACCATTGAAATGATTTCTCCTGAGTCTAATTCTTTATTCGTCTGTTCCGCCTATAATTATTTTTCTTATTCAAAAAAATTCCTTCGAAACTTTTCCGATACTATCATCGATCTATGTATAGATAGAGTAAAATGAGAATTCTTTTATTAAAATTCTTTATTTATAGATTAAATCTGGTGGTGAAAATAATAATAATAATAATAATAATCGTCTTGTTCGTGATATAAGTGTTGGTCCATTATCAATAAATAGTTTTCAAAATGAAGCAACAACAAAAACAAGTTTATCAAATTTTAGTCGTGAAACATTAGCTGATGATATTGAACTTCCACATGGTACAATTGATGGTGGAGTTGTTAGTGCTAATGAAATTGTTGGTCAAATGGATGATTCAATTGTATTACAAGTATCACTAAATGATAATGATAAACAACGAATGTTTAATAAAACATATTCAGCACAAGAAAATACAGCAGCTAGTATTGAAGAGGTTTGTTTGAATTTAAAAAGAAAAAAAAATTTGTAATTGATTTGAACTCTTTTTGTTTTTGTTTTTTGTTATTATTTCTGCTAGATTGCAACTAAGATTGATCGTGTTGAAGATCATTTATTTTCATATCGACGTTTTATGGATTTTATTCGAGCGTAAGTGTGAATGAAATGATGCTTCATTTCCTTTTCTTAATATTAATTCAAGCAAAAATAAGAATAAAGAAGAATTGCATATTCTTATGATATTTTATCATCAGTAAAAGGTGAAGAAAAAAAAACGTGAGTGAGATGATTGTCTTTATTGATAGAGTGATGTATGATACGATCGGTGATAATTACTGTTCGTTCTATTCTCTCTCTCTCTCTCTCTCTCTCTTGAGATATGTTTGTCACTGAATTTTCTTGTTATTGTTATCGACGTTTGCATACAAATGTAATATAGTACTCTCGAAGAAGAAAAAAAGACGAAGCAGAAGAAGACAAATAGTAATAGAGATCTTCCTGTTCGATCTCACCGTATGTATCCGGAGAAAAAAAAGCATTCTTCTTTATATATTCACAAAGATAGAAGATCTATAGTTTTGAGACATTACAACATTGTTTGTATTTATAAGAAATAGAAAAATTTCTCTTAAATCAAAATGTGGATATCGAATTTTCAACAAAAACTACGGAGTACATCATTTCGGTAAGCAGGAAAATGCAACATTGGATTTATTCTTATTTCTTTACTAAATGATATCATCAAATTCTTTTATAGTTTGTATCATTTTTTTGTTTGTTTTTCTTTTTGTTCGTACAGAAAATCGGAAAAAAGTGCATCACTTGTTCGTGATGATAGTTTTACAAATATAGTCAATTCTTCTAATATTTCATCAACTTATAAACGATTAGCTTCTGCTCCACCGGAAAATAATCTTCCAACATCTTCAACTACAAATCAACGTCGATCTCGTTTTGATGCTAATACAAATAGTAGTCATGATCATTTACCATTATTAACATCATCCATAGATGATGGTGTTATATCTGATGTGATGTCAAATTCAGTAACAGCAACAACAAATGGAACTGCAATGGGTTCATCAAAAAATCGATTTTTTTCATTAAGTCGTCGTTTTCGTTTTCGTGTACAATCACCAGATAAAGAAACAACAATACAACCAGCATCTGTTCATTTTCTTGATGAAGATATCGATTTAGAAACTAAAGAACGAACAATAAGAAAATCAGATCAACATGGATATCGACCATCAAAAGGCATATTAAAAGCATTAAGACATCGTTCACCATTTCGTTTCCGTTCAAAAGATGCTGTTATTCCCGAACAAGAACCATCACCACCTCCCCGACCTTTACAAGTACCTCCTTCACCAGTATCATCTACTCCATTGCCACCAACGGGTTCATCAAAAGATAATCATTCAAAAATACCACCATCTGCTCCTCAAAGCAAACAACGAGGTCGATTAGTTGAATTAAGAAAAACTACATCAAAATCATCTTCATCAAATGGTACATCTCGTAAACCTGTTAATATAACACCAACAACAGAACCAACAGCTTCAACATTAGTAAGACGTACATCTGGTTTAAAAGATCTTATACATAAATTTGAAGCAACACCATCTGATCGACCACCAAAACCTAAACGAGTTTCAATGGATGCTAATATGTCAAATATTTCTTCAATAGAAATTAATCAAGATGAACAAATTAAAAAAGGAACTAGTCAGTTAGATGTTCCAAATGATGATCAACAACGTGTTTCAACACTTTCTTCAATGAATAAATCAAAAACAATTGATATTCCGGATCTATTACGAAATGTTGCTAAAGATCCAACAGGAACATCATCATCAACAACAACAACAACAACAACAACAGCTACAAAAGCAATTTTAAGACATTCAAATTCAAGTCGACAAACAGCCTCATTTGATTCAACTACAAGTATGGTTAGTGCAAGTGATTCTGTTGTAACAACGAACAGTAGTACAAGAAGACCAACATCAACAGCAAGACCATTAATGATTTCTCTTGTAAGTAAATCAGTTAAATTTATTTATTTTATTTTTAATATTTTCTGGGTATTTTTTAAAGAGCAAAGATGAATCATAGTATTATCGATTCAATTCAACTGTTTTTTTTTCGATTCTGTTGAAATTGTAATTATCATATTCACATATCGTTTTATTTTTAATGTTTTGATTAATAAACAATCAAAATTATTAAAAATGATCAATTGATTGATATAGAATATAAATGCAGTTTTTTTTTATATATCGAATGTGTATTGTATGATTTTAAAATGATTGTTGAATAAAATTTTTTTCAATAAATTTTTTTTTTTGTTCTATGAAGCTTTTCGTTTGATAAAAAATATTAGAATTTTGTTGTTTTTTTAAATCTGTTAAGAAATAAAATATGAAGTATTTGCAAAACAAAAATGTTTTACCTTACAAAACGACTTGATATACAACCCTGTCAACAATGAAATGTGCAAACATCTTTATAGTGGTAAGCCAATGCATTGATCGGCGGCGAGGTCTAATCACTTGAACAGTGGTGTCGGCGCGGCTGAATCGTTTTGAGTATTGACAACGGCAGCGACTCAGCCGACTGGCTTATATCTCTAGACATATTACTTTGAGTTTTATGATGAAATCAGGATTCTTCTAATTTGAGTCGAAAACAAAAAGGATCCAAATGTCCAAAGATAGAAATGTTGAGAAATCTCCCAACATTGGCATTCAACTACAGTAGAGTGTTCCGAAATGAGATTTTTTTTGAGAGTGTTACTGTACTAAACTGTTCATTTTCGTTTATCTACCGTTGCACTGCATTATAATGAGAAATTTTTGGAAGATTATCGTATTCCTTTCAGTGTAGTGTGACAACAACTCATTCTGAAGAGTTGATAGTTTTCTTGTTATTATCTGCTACAAAGTTGTGTAAAAATATTCTGTTCAAAATGCTTATCGAAGATTGAAAAGTGCCTGTCAAATTCATACAAAATCAGTGATGAGAAATGCATTTGATCAGTTTGTCTTACACTTGACTTTCGAAATTTTTAAGCACGTTATGTGTGAGTGTGTAATCAATGTGACGCGAGCTTTCTAATGGTATCAAAATATTCGAGTTACAAAATCACAGGTTCCATAGAGAACAGTTTTATTAAAAGCTCGATTTACCCTTGACAACATTCAATGAAGTTTGTCTCATGATGTCTAATATAATGTACTTTTGTAGAAGGCTTAATAACCTCTAATGGAATATAAAATAAAGAGTTTAATTAAGTTCGATTGTTGGAAAAAGTTTTATTTTTTTTTTTGTCGAAATCACTTATTAATTGTGAACACTTTTTGCTAACAAAGACCTTTAACAAATTATCGATTTCGAACTCAATCTATGCCTTGAAAATTTCATTTCAACCTGTTTACAATGCCTTATCGTAGTACTATAAAATACGGAAGATAAGACGAACTTTCTTAGTAGATAGAGGTTTTGCTTCTAAACACTAAAAGCATGCAAAGAATTTTTCTAGTCAACCATGTGCTTAAAACTTTTCAATCTTCGGTAAGTATTTTAAACGAGATATTTTTACATAATTTTGCTCTTTCTAACAAAAACAATTAACAAGTATCTACGATGAGTTCTTATCACACTATAATGAAAGCAAAATTAATGCACAACTTTTGCACTATACATTACTAATTATGCATTTATAATCCTTTAATTTAACGAGAATTTGAAAGCGCAAATGAATTTTCTGGATAAACGCTTCTCTAATCTTTTAAAATTTTTTTTCATTGCATTAGTAAAAAATCATTGTGTGAGCTAAATTGACTCGTCATAGTCGTTTCTTCAATATATCGTAATGGAATTTCTTTTGACCATGTTAAATTCTTTATGTCCGTAGTACATAAATTGCATTTATTTTTGGCAAACTTTTGTTTTGTTTTTGCCTGCTTATACTATTTGTTTTCTATTTAGGATAATGCAATGATATCAATGTATGGTTGATACATGTCGTTAGTAGTAAGTGCCGATGTTTTCGATATGGATGATAAAGTAGTTTGACATTATTATTAATTATGAAAAGATTTTCTACTGAATGTAATTGATATATTCAAGAGAAAACATTTGAAAAAAATTGTAATATATACATTTGAAAACACAATTGAAGAAAATATTGAAAAGCTTTTTAGTCAGATACCTTGTTCAAATTTTGTATGACTTTGTCATAAAATTGAATTGACTGAATTAATGATATTTAATCGTGTCACGAGTTTATTTTGAATGGAATGTTCCATTGACATATTGTTTATTATTAGATACACGATGATCCTATAGTATAAAATAAAGCTTAGAATATTCTATATTTGATACATACATTGAACTCAAATAGGATTTAATGCGATTAATCATAGTTGTATATTTTAAGAGTAAAATTAATTATTCCAATAATAGATTTGATATATCCATCAAATGAAATGACACATGTATATAGAAAGAATTTATCTTATCAAAAAACAAAAAAATTAATTATGAGTTGTTGAAAAACAATCGAGAATTGTTTTCTTTAGAAAAAATAATAACGTTCTGAAAAGTGCACAAAATATAAACACTTAATGTGTGACATTACGTTTAAAATAATAAGAAAAAAAAAAATGCTATAATTAGTTTGAATTATTTAAAAAAATCCATTATATAATTTAGTAAATTATACTCGTGAAAAATATTTATAGTTTTATTTTTTAATAAACTCATATTCTTTGTTTTAATTAAAAAACAATCTATTTAAGTTAATGAATAAAAATTAAAAATAAGAAATATAATTAATCCGATATTTGAAGTGTTGATTTAATTTAACATTCAAATATCATAGGAGAAAAATCAATTTAATACATATAATTATTATCTTTTTAATTTTATAGTACCATGAGATAATTCTATTTCGTAGAGTTATTTATATTTTGAAATGAAATATCAATTACTCTTTTAAAATTCTGCTTTTCTATTATGTTAATAAGACTACTTGAAAAATAAAAATTATATTTAAAATATTGAATTTTATTATCGTGTGGGTATTTTTATTATTAATAAATCAATAGACAATATTGTAACTAAGTCATTAGATAGACGAATGCGCTCTTTTCTTCTAATTATGAACTATTAGTTTATTTCAAGTTTCTTTTGGTAGATATAAAATGCATGCATGACGTCAATCATTTTTATGACATGCTCGAAAAGAAATATTGAGTAGAAAGTAAATGTAAGAAAAAAAAACGGTGCAGCATGTTTGAGTAGTTCGCAAGTATGTTTTTTTACCCTTCTTTTTCTTTCTTCTCATTTTTCTGTGTTCTGTTAGTGACTGACTAGGGTCTCTTAGGATTGTTGGTTACATAAAAAAAGCGTATGAGAATAGCAACATATGCTTTCTGTAAACGATTGTCTGCAACACTGCCTAGCACATCGAGTACTTATTTTGGTATGCTCTAATGATTGAAGTATTTTCGTTTTTCAGAAACATATCGTATATTTAATATTTATAACATAGAAATAGTAGTTGATATGTCGAATAATTTTTCATCGTTACAAACATTTGAAAATGATTTATCGATGTTTTATTGTCAACCAAAACTAGAACAAATTGATGATGAACAACACAATAAAAATCTTTCAATACAACATCATCAAATGATGATGATTGCTAATAACAAACAAGAAAAAAAAGGAACAACATTTCCATTTGGAAAATGGTAAGTTATTGTTTATTATCAATCGAAATAGAATCTATTTAAGAAATGTTTCTATTAAATTTATGTCTTTTCATATTCGAAATTGAAATTATACAATCAAAAAAGAAAACAACAAGAAACTAATATATTATTAATAATCTCGTTTTTTCATAATTTATATTCATTTAATTAATTGAATACTTGATAAACTTATGTTTCTAGTCGAATTTGTCAAGATATTGCTACTGGAGTACATTATGGTGTTATTACATGCGAAGGATGTAAAGTTAGTTCATTTTTTTCCAAAATGGATCAATTATTTCCTCATAAGACGTAAAATTGTTTTTTTTTTTTGTAAAGGGTTTCTTCAAACGAAGTATTACTCAAGGTCTACCATATCGATGTTTTTTGGATGATAAATGTATAATTAATATAGAAACACGTAATCGATGTAAAGCATGCAGATTTAAACGATGTCTTGAACAAGGTATGGCAATAGAAAGTGTTAAAATGGGACGAATACCAAAAAAAGTTAAAGAAAAAGCATTAAGAGATTATTATAAACGACAAGAAAAAAAATCTCAATATGATCAACAACCATTAGAAGATAATCAAGATACTCGATTATATTATGATGATTATCTTAATGATTTTGAAATGGATAATTATAATTTATCAAATTTACAAAGAGATTCAATATCATCTGTATCGTCAACTTCATCATCAAGTACTTCAAGTATAAATATACGACGATCAATAGATTCTAATCACGAAATAATTATTGTACCACAAGGTAAATAATCCTTTTTATCCTTCTTTAAAATGATTAATTAAGCTTAGTGACTAAGCATATATATTAAAGTTCTTTGAATCTAAAAAACAAAAAAAAAAGAAGAATCTTCTTTATAAAGATTAAAGAAACTATTATTTGATTTAAATATTGTTTTATATTTATTCAGAAATATTAAACAATGTAGAACAATCATTTTATACAGATGATTTAATTGAATTAACAATAGCATCATCAAATATTCAAATTAATAATCCTAATAATAATTTATCTTCACTTCGATTACCAACTATATTTTATGAATCCTATTTATCATTAGAAACAAATTCTAATGTTTTATCAGAAAATTCAATAAGATCAAATATAACAACGAAATTAAATAATAATAAAGATAATGATCATTTATTAAAGAATTTAAAAAATAATGATACACTAACTGTTTCAAATTATATATCGAAATTAAATGCAAATACTTTAGTTGATCATATGTATAGTTATGAATTACGTTATTCAAAAAACGTTCTTCAAACAATGAAATATCTTGCATCAAAACTTCGTCAACCATTTCTTATCTATGAACTTGATTTTGAAGTAACAAGTTTTTTTCGTTATATACGTTGGAAAATGCTCAATTTTTATTTAAAACATACAACAAAATTACGAATACTTGTTGAAAGAATGTTTGGTATTATTAATCTTGGTGTAAATATATACAAATTAAAAAAATAAATAATATTTTATATATAATTTTTTTTTTATTCAAGATTACTGATTATCCGGGCGTTAATGCAACGTTAGAACAAATATGGATGGGTATTAAAGCTAGTATACCAAAGGATATCACTGAATTAGTTGATTTTGCTAAAAATGTAAGTAAATTGAAAGATCATCTTCAATAAAGAAATTCTATTTTTACTATGTAATTTCGATATATTGAACTTAGAATATACGAAAAAAATTTTGAAATAAACTTTTACTAAAAAAAAATTTCTATCTTTGAATTAATAAACAATTTCTTGAATAGTCATCCATTGGTTTTCTTTTGAAAAACTGTTCTTGCTAATCAAAAATCAATAGTTTATTTTTTTCAGTAGATGCTCATTATACAATGTTGTTTTTTTTAAAGAAAGACAATAGCACCGCCTCGTCGGAAGTATTCTTTTGTAATTATTTATTCATGACATATATAATACAAAAAAAAATCAATATTATTACTGTTTCATCAATAATAAACTAGACTATGTAGAACTTTTAATTAAAATTTTCTTTACAGAGGAAAAAAAAACAAACTTTTGATTTAAATGAAAAAACTTTCGTTCTATATATTTTAAATAATCATAAACTTGTAAGACTTTAACATGACATTTTGAATTGAGTTCTTTTGCACTGTAGAAATTCTTTTTTTTGATACTATGCTTGTCATGTGTGTACTTAGGATTACTTTTTCTAAATAGTCTCTTAAGTATTCAGAAGAATTTACGCAGATTATTTGGCACGTACATGGATACCTGCATTAATTATATATATATATATATATGTCTGCCTAACAGAAATATGAATTTTTTTTTAAATGTTAAAATGAAATATTTTAATCAGATGTTGGTTCGCTGTTTGAAAGTGTAGTTTTAAATGTATTGTTTTAATAGCAGAGATATATGCCGAGCGTTGGGAGAAAGGGTTACTCTTCTCAATCTTAATGACTACCATACATCATAGATTTTTTATTTTCTAAATCAAGTCTTTATAGTAGAAAACTACAAAGAATATTCTTTTTTTTCAGGTACCTGGACTTAATGAATTAAATGTAAATGATTTTACTCGAATTTTAAATAATCGAGCATTTGAATTTTGGACGGTAAAATTAACACATAAAAAAATAAAAAAAAATAAAATTTTTTCTTTATTAAATAAATTAATTTTAGATAATGCACTATCCATTATTTTATAAAAATGAATCTTATATAATGACAGCAACTGGATTACATTATACACGTTATTTTATGAATCAAATAATTGGAAAAAAGACAACTGATGCTTTACATGAATTTTCTGCATGTCTTCATGAATTAAATATAACACAAGTTGAACATAGTCTTATCATTCCAATAATTCTTTGTTTACCAGATGAACAATTAATAGATTGTGAAAGTGTACATATTATTAAATATTGTTATATGTATGCACTTTATATTCAATTATGTACAACACGAACTGAAGATGAAGCAAAATTAGTATTTGAAAATATTCTTCAGGTTAATTTAATTATATATTTCAATATTTCAATATTTTATTTTTATATATAGATTACGAAGTCTATTGGTATGCTTAATGAATTGTGCAAGAAAAATATTGGAGAACTTAAACTTAACAAAACAATATCTCATGAATAATTTATTTTTGGTTTTTAAAGATTATATTCCGATGAATATTTATTTTTCAATTTAGTGATTGTTTTTTTTCACATTAGATTTTCCAGTATTATATTCAGATATATATGAGTTACTTATATGATCTTGTTGTATATTTTTAAAAGGAAGTGAAAAAAAAAGGAATATAAATTATTTGTGTGTCGATGATTAATGATAAAAATGAAGAACATAAGAAAAATTTTTATTGATGGTTGAATTTTTTATAGACAAGAATAAATCGGCAGCAGAAGGCATGTTTTAGTTCATAATTGAAGCCAGCGAAATAAAGAAAAAATGATCGTTAGATGTTTAAATAGAAGAATATAATATTTGAACTCATTGATCTTCTCATAATTCAATTAACTTTAGTTTACATTTATACAAAGTTTACTGTCCTTAATATTTCGAAAAAAAAAATACTAATAAAATACGTTTAAAAATTAAAGATCATTCAATAAATCGACAACTATATGTAGTTTTTTTTCCATTTTCGTTTGTATCAAATGCTGAGATGCGATATGTCAGAGTATCATTTTATGTGTGATTTGATAGGTTGAACTTTTTTTTTTAATTTTCAGTAATGTAAATAGGGTTATAGAGTCTTCATCATATAATAAATAGTATTATTTCCAGTTATTCCATCGATTATTTCATGGTATGCATTTTATAAATCTTTATACTAATCGTATTTTAGATGAGAACTATTATAATGTAGACATGCTATTATTCTTTATTGTTGACATGACCTAGCAGTTGAGCTTTGTATTTTTGTTCATAAATATTGTAAATCAAAGTTCATTGAAGCTAATAATAATATCAGATTTCCTGAAACATGAAAATTGACTGGTTAAATTAGTTTCATGTAAAGAAATAAGAAATATACTTGAGAATAATTGGTACTTTTTCTTCAATTGTTTATCATTTTCTATGACGAGACATAATATTTTTTGTTTTAAATATGTTTTGGAGTTTATTTCTTTATAGTTTTACATAGCAATTAAGAAAATCATTAATATATTTAGATTGCTATTACAAATTGGGTATTTTTATTTCGATCCTATTTAGATTTAGGTTCATGAGTGAAAATAATATGACTATTGATATTTGGCTTGATATAGTATAGTATTATTTAAAAAGTAGAACAAAATAAACCGAAAAAAGCCGATACACGTGCAAGAAAACGTGACAAGAAAAAATGAAAGATTGCATGTTTAGTTGTTGGTAATATAGCAATGTGATACAGGACTCAGAAATCTCGTAAGCTAAAAAAAGACAATGTGTGACACGAATTTATTAATTATATCAAATATCATAATGTATTTAATATTTTGTTTTGGATTAGCGATTGTTATATTTAAGACAGACCAAATTGAAAACAAAAGAAATAGTCTCGATTAACAACAATAAAAAATAAGATACAGTAAAACGAAAATATTTAATCAAAAAATGTTGTGCAAGAATTGAAAAATGAGAATTTCTAAAATTTTAGAAAATCATCAACAGAACTATGAGAATATCTCGTTGGAATCGAGATTTGACTAATAGTGCTCAAAAAAATCCATCATTCATAGTAGATAACGTGTTATTTTGATGTTAGCCATCAAGAAATAGTCGAGAGGAGAGCGATTGAGAAAAAATTCCTTTTTCTTATGGCCCGAATACTCTTCATAAAAAATGTAAAAGTAGAATGACAGTAATTTAAAAAAAAAGCTCTCAAGAAATACGACGAATAACAACATCTTAAGAAAAACGATAGTATTTTCCTTGTTTCGACCGTTCGAACTCTTGACTAAAATAAAGACTATTACCAATTCTTTATTCCGCATGACTAAATATATGTGAATCCTATTAATAGCGAAATGTATTGAGTAGCTAGTACTCGATGTCTGAAAATACATCAATAAAAAAATGTATTCCATATAGAGAATAATTATCTAAAAAATCATCTATCATATTATTATCTAGTGTATGATGAGTTTAATTAGAAATATGCAACCGATATTAGAAAGAAAGATGAATCATTTTTCATCTTTGTTGTATAACAGTGATATTATGACAAGTAGTTACATATATTGACTATTAAACATTGAAAAAAAATATGTCTATTGATGTATATGGTCAATTAAATCTTGTTTCTTGAATGATATCTTCGTTTTTATTATTTATTATTTGCAAAATTTTTGATCTTAACATTCAAAGTATGTCATAGAACAACTATGATCAACAAGGTAGGACAGTAAAAGTCATAATCATCATTTCTAACGAAATAATAAGAAAAGAAAACAACTTATTACTTGGATAATTAAATAGCAGTAATTATAAAACATATCTCAATACTTAGAGATATATAATAATATAAATTATCAAACAAATATTATGTTATGTCTAACTCTATCATCTTCAAAATTATAACGTAGCTTCGAAAAAATCAGTCGCGGTAATAACTTATATCATTGGTTGATTAATCACTATGTCATAATGTTGGGAATTAATAATTTTGTTTTCAATTTAAAGAATTTAATTGATTACAGTAACATTTGGGCTAATTGGTAATGTTTAGATTATTGTATTAATAACTATAGTTTAACAATTGAATTTCAAATCTCACAATAGAATACCCACATTTAACGCTACAATGATCAGTACGTCTTATATGTTCACGTCATCTACAACAATTAACAATTAAGGAATGACAGAGAAAGATGTTAGGCCAGTATTATTGTTGGCATAAAATGAGTAATGAAAGGACGAAGCATGTACCTATAATTATTCTAAATGATTTCAATTTCATTGTTGTGTGTCCTTTATTTGAACAGTGTTTGTTTGACAAAATAAAATAAAATAATTTCTAATTCAAAAATTGGTGTATCAATCCATTCAACAATGAACATTGTTGAAAAGAATGTAGAAGAATAAGCTTATAGATTTATTTGTTTTTTCTATGACCGAAATATTAGAGCTTCAAAATTGTAGTTCGATTTCTTCTTTTGTCTTTCAAATTATTCTCTTTTGAACGCAATAAAGTTTCATAATTATTTTGTTTATCTTTGTACTAACCCTTGTGAAAAGTTCAAGAATGATTTTTTATTTTCTATAAGAACTATAATGCTCTTCATGAACAATATGTTCAATAAGTTACCTAACACAAGTCAATAAATGAAAATTCAGTAGAAAAAAAAGCAAATTTCAAATATGTTTATGGCAACTAATTAGATATTTTTACAATGATGTTCACAACAGTAAGAAAACACTTTTTGCTTGACTATTTCAACTTTAACAAATCTAAAGATTGTATCATTTCATATAATCACGAATAATCATTTTTAAAAATAATAGAATTTCATTAAAAGAATATGTAACATAAATTTCATATTTTATTTATATAACAGAAGAAATATGCAAGAAAAACATGTTTCTTGGCGGACAATAAAACTAAAATGGAATATGTTAGTAACGTCATCGATACGATAGAAGATTAATATTTTTTTTTCTCGTAAAAAAAAGGTGAATAAAAAAATTTTTATTTTTATTTTTTTTCATTTATGTAAAAACGTCCTTTCAGATGTTGCTAATTGTCCAAGAGCTGAATTAAGTCCAGCTAAATGATTAAAAAATACTTGTTTTTCTACTTGAACAGCTACATTTTGCATTTGAGCTTCTTTTAAAATAGCTTGTACCTAAATAAGAATAAGAAAACATTCAGACAATCACATAAAGAAAAAAAAAACAAGAACGAACTTGTGACGTAACAAGTTGTTCATCACCATCATTCGAAATTTGTATATGAATAGTTCCAACAATAGTTGATGATGAAAGCCTCCAAAAATGTTCATCAGAATATGATAGAACACTATCAATTTTAATTATACGACCAAGAATTTCATATTGAATATCTGATGGAGTTTGTAAAAGAAGTGTCATAGCACTATCTTTTAAAAGTGGAATGACAGAGAGAAAAATCATTATTGATATAAATAATGAACATATTGGATCTGATATATACCAGCCAAAATATTGTATAAGTAATGATGAAATAATAACACCAACCTGAAATTTACAAATAGAAAATTATTTTCTTTATTTTTGAGAGATACTCACACTACCCAGAGTATCAGCCAAGACGTGAAGAAAAACACCTAAAAACAATGAAGATTTAAATCATTGGTTTTCGACCGAAAAAATGGTAGAAACTTAGAAGCAAGAATTTAGTGGCCAACTTTGTCCGAAACTAGAAAAATCCAGCTATCGAATTCCTACTACCAAGTTCTTATCATTTTTCGGCACGAATCTACCGGAATCATTGACCTGAGTTGATATTAACAATTATTTACAGATATTTTTTTTTATGAAATAACAAAGTCTCTCACTTAAATTAACTAGAATTACCTTTCATATTAGCATTGCCTGTAAGTGAATGACTATGTCCATGATGGCTTGATTTTTCATTTGATCTATGTGAATGTCCATGATCATGATCATGACCACCATCATGCGAGTGTGAATGAGAATGAGAATGAGAATGAGAATGATCATGATGATGTTGTTCTTTAGCTACACTTGGTTGACTCATTGGACAACTACCACCACCACCACCGCCATGAGCATGTGCATGTGCATGACTGAATGAAAAAATACCAATCATATTAACAGCAAATCCTGCGACAGAAACAGCTAATAAACGATTTGTATTAATTTCTGGTGGCTCAAAAATACGACCTATTGCTTCATAGAAGACAAAAAATGCTACAACAACAAGAAATAAACCATTAACAAAACCCGATAGAACTTCAGCACGACTATATCCATATGAAAATACTCTTGTAGGTTTCCAACGAGACATAAGTGCTGCATAAAGACCAACAACAAGTGCTGTACAATCAAATAACATATGAAAACCATCACTAATCAAACCAAGTGAATTTGTCCAAGCTCCATACAAAAGTTCAACGAATGTAAACATCTATTATAAATTAAAAATAAAA